GAATAAGAGAACAACACCAATACACTTGGGGTAATCATACAAATGGTTTTATTCATTACATCATAATTCAGATTTTTTTCCCCCCAGGAATAAATAGCTATGCAACACAGTTAGGGGTCGACCGATATGTGTTTTTCAGGGCCGATGCCGATACCGATTATTACAGATCAAGTAGACCGATAACCGATATTTTGAACCGATATATATGTCTGGTGTAAAAATGAACATTTATGTTCAAAATTAAGAATAACAAGGGCTCTGACAAAAACTGCCTTCCCTGGTGTTGGTTGAGTGTAGTACTCCCACAGTAAACTCTTTATTTTAAAGAGTTAAACTTTATTTTTTGGCAAACAAAGGGTTTACCATTACAATTAAAACATGGAAGAAATAGCGTAGTGTGTGATTATTCTTTTAAACAAAAGTTGTAATAATTGTTGTAGTAGTTCCCCCCAGGAATAAATAGCTATGCAACACAGTTAGGGGTCGACCGATGTGTTTTTCAGGGCCGATGCCGATACCGATTATTACAGATCAAGTAGACCGATAACCGATATTTTGAACCGATATATATGTCTGGTGTAAAAATGAACATTTATGTTCAAAATTAAGAATAACAAGGGCTCTGACAAAAACTGCCTTCCCTGGTGTTGGTTGAGTGTAGTACTCCCACAGTAAACTCTTTATTTTAAAGAGTTAAACTTTATTTTTTGGCAAACAAAGGGTTTACCATTACAATTAAAACATGGAAGAAATAGCGTAGTGTGTGATTATTCTTTTAAACAAAAGTTGTAATAATTGTTGTAGTAGTTAAAGCAAAAAAAATTATTTTGACTGAAAATTTGTCCTCAGCCAAACCCCATTCCTCAGCCATACCCGTCACACTCCCAGTTTAAGAGCAGTGTTTTTCTTCTTGTAATCAAGAGCATTTGTCCTCCTAATTCAACAAAATTAAGGAGCACCTTCTGATCAATAATACAAAATTAGCCTTTCTAATATGAGGTGAAGTGATTTACAGGGGCATTTTCTTTTTATCTTTGCAATGGCATCATTTTCATCTGTCAAATTCACAAATTTGTTTATAAGCTTTTTACAATTTCTATTTAAAACAATATAAGTAGAATAAGACAAATAAGTTACCAATCATGAAATCAGAATTAATGAAAAATGTATTTGTACTACAGAGGTGGCACAAAAAGAACACAACTTGGAAGTACATTTTCAGACGTTCAGTGAGACTCAGAGGTGGCATGAGTGCAATTAAATTCATACATTCATGTGGCCCGTGGCAGTTCTAGTGTTCATATAATCATTTAATAATGTAATAATTTGTTTTATCTCAAATTTCTTACTTCAAAATTAAATATTCATAAATACATATCTGTTAATCCCAGGTTGATATGGCCACGTGGGCATTGTTTATTTATTGTTTATACATTACATTTATAAGAAATTTAAAGATTTTTCATTTTGTTACAACTTACAGTCATTTCTTCATTTATGCCAGGAGTTATGTCAATGAAAAACAAAGTCGAGATCGATATGAAGCTTGAGTCGTAGACCTTTTTAATGATGTTAAGTGACTTTATGAAGTGAATTGCATTCTTTAACATTACAACTAGCAGTAACTCTGAACTCGTGTAAACAAAGAACGCTTCTGTGCGCTGGCGTCCTCCCACAGGTGAAGAGATTTGAAACAAACACCTTTAGTTAACCAAATGAAACGATACACATTTTCATGCTATAAAAGTATGCACATTGAGACAAGTAAACAGCACATCTTCTTCTTAACTTCTTTAACTTGAGCAAACACTGCTAATACAGTGCTAATAATGCTAATATGCTAACACTGTATCTGTTTGTTCATAAAGTTAAGTTCATAAAGACGAAAACATGCATGTTTTAATGCTAGAGAATAAAAGGAAACGATCTACCCACATGCCTCTGCTCAACAATGGTGCCTGGATCAGTGAGCTGCGTCTCGGGCCCATGACGTCACTTCCGGGGAGGCATGCCCAGGCCTGTTGTACACGCCCCCGTCCCTTGACTCCACCCCCATGTCAAAATAGTGCCAGAAAGCGAGACGCGCAGAAACGTGAAGCGCAAAGGGAAAAACGGTATGGCAAGCTCAAACTTGACCGAAACGCAAAATAAAAGCAGCGTTGCAAATAAATTTGTAGATATGGCCATGGAAAATATGTATTGCAAAAGCATTGCTTTTGTGCCGTTTCTTTTCTATTTTGCAATTCTTGATTTTTGTATGCAAAAAACACTTATTTTCGTTTGCAAACCTTTCTTTTCTTTTGCAAAACTTGATTGTCTTTTGCAACACTTTATTCTTTTGCATATAAATGTGGCATTATATTGACTCCATACAGAAGTACGTTAAAACACACGTATACACTTTTTTTCATCGTCTTGTATGAATTATTTGAATGTTACTTGCTCACTTTCCTAGTAAAGCTGTGCTAACCAGTATTTTCTTCCCGCAGTGCGCTGGCAGACCGGCGGGGAGACTCGTGAAGACGAAATCAAGCAGTAAGAGAACATTACATTGTTAGGTCAACTTTAAAATGCACGTCATCACCTTCTTTGTTTTATACCAATGCTATCTGTAAGGTATAAATGCGTTTGGGTGAATAAATGTCTGTAAGAACATCGGATGGACTGTATTTGTGTCATTTTGTTAGGTTAATGCTTCAGCTACAGATGATGTGTTGCGCAATTGTTAATTGGGTTTCTTTCTTTAGTAATGGCATTCATTTTCGCTACATAAGATACCTGTCTGTTATGTAGTGCCCTGTTATACTGCATTACTGTGTAATATTTATGGTTTCTATAGCCGTGGCATCATTATGATGGTATCAAGAGATGGATTCATTCATGTAGGACGCCACTCAAGGCCTAGGTGTAAAATGCACGGCCCGCCACTGATAAAATGTGTGTGTTTGTATATAAAACAACAAAATGCGTCCTAGCACTTCCACTGTGTCCAATATTCCAACGCTCATAAAAAGTGTTCCTTTAAAGGTTAGCTCATTCTTTCCATTGATATGTATTCTGAGTGACTCTGACTATCACCGTCTTCATTTCCAGGCCATTTTACTGTTTGATTAAAGAGAAAACTACAAGCAAAATCACCCCAAACATCAAACTCCATTGTTGCATGTGGATTATTTCCGCCTATTCAATCACTCATCAAAAATGTCCCTTTATAGGTTAGCTCATTCGTTCAATTGATATGTATACAGAGTGACCCAGACTATCACTCGATTCATTTTCAAGCCATTTTACTGTATAGTTTCAGAGAAAACTAAAAGCAATATCACACCAAACAACAAAATGCGTCCTTGCACTTGCACTGTGTCCCATTTTCCAAAACTCATCCAAAGTGTCCCTTTATAGCAGGGTTCCTCAAATCTTGCCCTGGAGGTCCAATGCACTGCAGAGTTTAGCTCCAACCCTGATCAAACTCAGCTACCTGTGATTTTCTAATGATCCTGAAGACGTTGATTAGCATGCTCAGGTGTGTTTGATTAGGGTTAGAGCTAAACTCTGCAGGAAAGTGGATCTCGTGGGCGAGATTTGAGGATCCCTGCTTTATAGGTTAGCTCGTTCTTTCAATTGATGTGTATTCAGAGTGAGTCTGACTATCACTGTACTCATTTTATAGCCATTTTACTGTATAGTTTGGGAGAAAACTACAAGCAAAATCACCCCAAACGTCAAACTCCATTGTTGCACTTGGATTATTTCCACCCATTCAAACATTCATCAAAAGTGTCTCTTCATAGACCCTTTATAGCTTTTATTAACGACTAAAATACAGAAATAAGTTGTCATAGGAATGAAAAGCTCATTCTTTTCATTCACATGTATTCAGAGTGACCCAGACTATCACTGTATTTATATTCAAATATTTTTACTGTATAGTTTTGGAGACAATTCTGGGCAAATTCACCCCAAGTGTCAAAAGTGCATAAGCAACTTTACATTATGTCCTACATTCAAACACTCATGCAAATCTTTCCTTTATAGGTTTGCTCATTCTTTTAACTGATTCCCGTTCACGGTGGCCCTGACTATTACTGTATTAATTTTCAAATATTTTTACTGTGTGCTTTTGGAGAACATTAATGGCAAATTCACTCCAAAAAAAACAAAGGGCATTCTCGCAGCTGCACCATTTTCAAACACTCATTCAAATCTTTCCTTTATAGCTTTGCTCGTTCTTTTAATTGATTCCCATTCACAGTGATCCTGACTAATTTAGTGTTCATTTTCACATCTTTTTACTGTATAGTTTGGGAGAAAATTCATGGCAAATTCACCCCAAGTATCTACGTGCACCTTTGCACTTTTACATCACGTCCCATTTTCAAACACGCATCCAAATATTTCCTTTATAGGTTGCCTCGTTCTTTCAATTGCTTCCTGTTCACAGTGTCCCCGACTATTACGGTATTAATTGTCAAATAATAAGTCATTAAGAGCACAAAAATAAGTCTACAAAGTTCTATTTCACGACATTTCAAATACGACCTGGCTCAACTCATTTAGCTCTTGCATCCTGTTAAATGCCCTAATTTGGAACATGTGCCTTATCTTTTCAGTTCAAAAACACAAAGTATTATACAACAAACATTTGCTATTATTATTATTAGTCTATTATCATTTCAGTGTGAATTGTACAAAACAGTCATGTTCATGATTTCATGGGAACAAATTGTTGCTTTCCTTTTATTTGTTTTTGTTGTACAGAAAGCTTGTAACCAATTCTAGTCCGCATGCCTCTGCAGAACTCCTTGGTGTAATTCTGCCACAGCCTCTGGTGCAGCTTACTCCTATAATCATTTCATGATGACAATAATGCATTTTATTAGGCACCTTTCAAGGCTCAATGACACCTTAAAATAACAGTAGGCTATTAATTGATCGACTGCAATACAACCGAATGGAATTTCAACACTTTTATTAACGACTAAAATACAGAAATAAGTTGCCACAGGGATCATGTAACCCGTGTTATGACATTTCACAGATACAAATGCAAATATGTCATTTTTTAGGCTATTCCACAAAAGCCTAATATGAGAAGGTGATTTCAGGTGTATGCATCGGTGCGCACAAGACGATCAATACATGTTCACAGGTGTTGAAGCCACGGTAGGCACTGTTGTGCAGTCTGATGGGATGTACAACAGCATGCCCAAAGTGCTGTTATTTCTTAAGATGCACAAAGTTGTTTTCTGAAATAAGGCAAAATAAATACATTTACAATTTATATCAATTGCATGTATTTCTATCAAATGTATCATATTTATACAAGTACATCAAATAAAGTCAAGTAAAATTACAATACGAGTGTGATCATTTTCAAACAACGGCACCGATACTATATTACTTTTTCTTTGTGTCCTTACCTGATCGGTGTCTTGTTGTATCTGGATTTTCATCTCAATACAATTGGAATCGATCAGTTACAGGTAAGTCACAGGTAAGGAGAAACAACAAATGGCTGATGACGTAATGATGATTACGGTAAACAAATAGCTTTGCAGCCATCACCACCATAAACAAATACAACAACCTCAGGGCTATAAAAGCAAAGACATTTAACTAAACGTTAGAAATTAGTAACCGTGGACACAAAATAAGGACTGCTCAAAGGGGTGATGAACATAATCGGTTCCTAAGGTTCAAATGAACATTTTAACTTCATTAAATGTGACGCTAACAATTTCAATGCAAGAACAGGTTGAGTGTATGTCACGTGTGCGTGTTCCCATTGAGTTCCTGTTTGCCCTTATTTGGTCCTTCCCGTTCCTGTCCTCATTGTATGAATTGGTTTCCAGCCGTGTTTCTTTAATTAGTTAATTTGCTCCAAGGTGTGTCCCATTGGTGTCTGTATTTATAGTGACTCCCATTCAGTGTTTCTTTGTCTGCTGTTAAATGTCGTGTTGCCGTGTCTCCAAAGTTCCCTGTGTGTTCACATTACATTCCATCTTCCTAAATATTCTCCTGCGTCTCCTTCGCGTCCGACTGTAACATGACAGTATGACGTCAGAAGAGTATTTCCCAGCAATTTTGTCCAATACTATATATAAAATAAGAGTCACTTTGATATGGTAATAAGCATGGTCATGGTCAGGCCCATATTGTGCCATAATTCCTTCTAAAACCAAAACTTTATGTTAGAAAACGGGACATGAGTGCAACGATACACTCTATAAAAACATTTTTGGAGTGAGTTTGCGTTTCCCAGAAACTGTCAAGTAAAATTACATGAAAATTAATCCTTTGAAAATGAGTAATGGTGCAACTGGTACAATGCACTTTGTTTTTTTAAGTGATTTTGCCATTCATTTTCTTCAAAACCATACAGTCAAAAACACTTACAATTAATACAGTAATAGTCAGGGTGACTCTAAACAGTCACCCAAAGAACGAGCAAACCTGTAAAGGAAAGATTCTTATGAGGGTTTGAAAATGGGACATCATGTAAAAGTGCTTATTCACTTAGATGCTTGGGGTGAATTTGCCTTTACTTTTCTCAAAAACTATACAGTACAAATATTTGACAATTACTACAGTAATATTCAGGGTCAATGTGAACAGGAATCAATTGAAAGAATGAGCAAACCTATAAAAGGAAAGATTTGTATGTGTGTTTGAAAATGGGTCATAGTGCAACTGCTACAATGCACTTTGTTTTTTGGAGTGAATTTGCCATTCCTTTTCTCCAAAACTATACTGTACAAATATTTGACAATTCATACAGTATTAGTCAGGGTCACTGTGAAAAGGAATACATTGAAAGAATGAGCAAACCTATAAAGGAAAGATTTATATGACTGTAGCAGTTGCACCATTGGCAATTTTCAAACAATGCACTTTGTTTTTTGGAGTGAATTTGCCATTGATTTTCTCCAAAACCACACACTGCAAATATTTGACAATTAATACAGTAATAGTCAGGGTCACTGTGAACGGGAATCAATTGAAAGAATGAGCAAACCTATAAAGGAAAGATTCAATATAGGACATAATGTAAAAGTGCTTATGCACTTAAGACACTTGGGGTGAACTTGCCTTGACTTTTCTCCAAAACTATACAGTTAAAATATTTGAATATTAATACAGTGATAGTCTGGGTCACTCTGAATACATGTGAATTGAAAGAATGAGCTCACCTATAAAGGAACACTTTTTTATGAATGTTTGGATATACGGAAATAATCCACATGCAACAATGGAGTTTGATGGTTTGGGTGAATTTGCTTTTAGTTTTCTCCAAAACTATACAGTAACATGCCTTGAAAATGAAGACCGTGATAGTCAGGGTCACTCTGAATACATATCAATTGAAAGAATGAGCTAACCTTTAAAGTAGGGCTGGACGATATGGCCAAAATTTATATCACGATATATTTCTTAATTTCGGTCGATACAATATAATTCCGATATCGATATGAACACTATTAAAAAAGCCTCATAAAAACGGCCACAACAGATGTCTGTGCATACAAACTTATGAAAAATGAATTTGCCAACTCTATGACACCTCATATAAAACCATATAATACTTTAGAAAAAAAAACAGCACAAATAAATTAATGTTCACCTTTTATTTGTATTTAGCCTTCATACAAACAAGAAATGTGAAGTCACTGTCAAATAAACATCTCAGACTCACCTTATTAATTAATATCTTCTAACATACTAGTCAAAAGATTTTTATTGTTTTTAAAGAATTCTCTTCTGCTCACCAAGCCTGCATTTATTTGATCCAAAATACAGCAAAAACAGTAACATTTTGAAATAATTTTACTATATAAAATAACTCTTTTCTATTTGGAAATATTTTAAAATGCAATTTATTCCTTTGATTTCAAAGCTATATTTTTTTAGCATCATCGCTCCAGTCACATGATCCTTCAGAAATCATTCTAATATTCTGATTTGCTGCTCAAAAATCATTTATTATTATTGTTGAAAACAGCTGAGTAGAATTTTTTCAGGTTTCTTTGATGGATAGAAAGTTCAGAAGAACAGCATTTATCTGAAATAGAAATTGTAACATTATAAATGTCTTCATCATCACTTTTGATCAATTTAAAGCATCCTTCCTAAATAAAAAGTATTAATTTCTATAATTTCTTTCCAAAAAAAAAAGAAAGAAAGAAATCATACTGACTCCAAGCTTTTGAATGGAATATTGTATAATGTTACAAAAGCTTTTTATTTCAGATAAATGCTGATCTTTGGATCTTTCTGTTCATCAAAGAATCCTGAAGAAAAAAACTCTACTGTATATTGATAATCAGCGAATCAGCATATTAGAATGATTTCTGAAGGATCATGTAACACTGAAGACTGGAGTAATGATGCTGAAAATTCAGCTTTGATCACAGGAATAAATTAAATGGTCGTTAGACCATTAGACTGTGTATCATGCCAAGCCACAGTATTTTATGTTACGTGCCTTTGAAAATGCCAGAGAAAGCTTTAAATCACGGCTATATGGGAACAACGCTATACTGTATTCAAATGCGATATGGAAGCGTCATGTTATTCAATATGGAAAAAAAAGCAAAAAAAAGTAACTGACTAATAAATAACTGAACTCAACCTCATAATAAACATGTGTTTGTGTAATAGGTTAAATTGCCGTCACACAACAGCCAACAGCATTTCCCAGTTTTTCAGTCAAGCCGATGTATATGAGCTGCTCTGTGGATCTAACGATGATAATGTTTTGATATTGTAAACAAAAAATGTGGAATACTGACATTTGAAATTATTTAAAAAATATAAATGTGAAATTTAAACCACCAGTAGATGGCAGCAAGTCACTGTTAGAGTCATTGCGATTGAACCGAATCATTTAAAGGTTGATTCATTCAGAAACGAAACACCGTCATGTTTTTGTTTATTGAACTGTATATTAATATCACATAATTTTAACATCACATTTGAAATCATGTTGATTTTTGGAGAAAAGAAACGACAATGATATATAAATGATATTTATATAAACTATATAAAATTATATAAATAGATGAATGAAGTTATCTCAGGACGAGACCGCCCTGATTGTAAAGCAAAACCTGATTGGCTATAAGCGAGATCGTGCTACGATTGGTCAGCGAATGGGGCTGTTCTCTGATTGGCTTGAGTAGACGGTGGGTGGAGTCCCCGTATTTGTGGATTGTCAGCACGTCTTGACGCAAGAAATGTTTCACAATTCGCAAATGCACAGGACGCGATTCACAAATAAATGCCAGGCAAAGTTGTGGTTGTGACATAAATATATATTTGTGAAT